TACCGTACCACACCTCTTCCCTTTCATTGTATATACCATGTTTTATCTCTTCCTATTTTCCTTTCTTTATTTTAAGTTTCTCCTCCATTCTAAGTCACACACGAGACTGTGTGATTCAAGTTTGGGGGAGAGATCAAGTTTCTAATGTTTTCTTCTGTTTTATTTCATTGAGTCTTGCATTGTAGATATCTATTTGCATAGAAAATCCAAAAAAAAATAAAAAATTTGCAAAAAAAAAAACACAAAAAGAATCATGTAATTGCATCATTTGCATCTTCTTTTAATTGAGTCTAAAGCATATAGGTTGCATTCATGTGCATTGGGAACAATGATTTTAAAGTACCTTGTAAAGAAACATGTCTAAGGCTCAAAGTAGCACCCTAGTTAAACATATCAAGTAGCTTAGACATCTCTTGAAAACCTTGCACGCTTCGAGCCTTGAAAACTCTTCTTGAAAACTTGTTTGCTTACTTGAGATTAACATTGTTCTTATAGCCAACTCCAAACTGAACTTGAAGTGAATGAACTTAATTTCTCTTGCAAATGGGCACTTGCATACTTAGTCATGGATTATACACATTTGGGTTATCTTATTCCATTTTACCACTCTTTATTAACCCAAATGGCACCTCCATACCCTTAAACCCTTACCATTCCTTGAAGCCAACATTGATTTGCTTGAGTGAGGCCTTTTTTGTGAAAGCTAGTCATGTGCAAAATCTTGAGAGTATTAGGAGTGACAATGGTTTGTTCTTATCTTATGCTAGCATTAGGACCTCATTTTGGCTAGCACTTAGGATGGTATTTGGGTTTGTAAGTTGGATTTTGATCTTAAGAGTGAGAGGTGAAAAGAAAAGAATAAAAAGAGTGAGAAAAAGAAAAGAAAACCACTAGGGATAAAAAAAAAGGTTTGAAAGCTCTAAATCCCTTAGTAAAATCCCTTTAGAACCTAAAAAAAAAAGAAGAAAAGAAAAGAGAGATTTGGGATAGACAAAAAAAAAAAAAAAAAAAAAAAAAAAAAAAAAAGAAAGATATGAATAAAGAGCTAAGTGTGAAAGTGTTAGAAAGAATCCCTAGTTGGTTGAAAACAAGAGATTGAGAGTGTTCATTGGGTGAGTGTTGAAGATGAGTAATCTTTTGAGTTTTTGGGGCTTTGAAAGAAGAATATTTGAGCTTAGAATTATTTAGGAAAGGGGTAGAATAATGTGAACAAGTCATTGTATGCATGAATTGCTCATATTCTTAGATAAATTTTGCATAATGATGTAGCTACTATTCTTGAGAGTAAGCCACCATAAAAAGAATGCATTTGAACCTCTTTTGTTTCACATTGAACCTTTTTGCTCACCAAGCCAAATGACTGAGATCAGTTGCCCATTTGTGAGAACTCATCTTGTGTGTGTGTGTATGAATGAATGTGAGAGTTGGTTGAAGTAACTTGTTGATTGAAGAGTATTGCATCTTGTTTAAAGGCATAAGAGTGCTAAGATAGGCTTAGAGAAGCTAGAGTACAATAAGAGAGTGTGTCCATGGTATTTGCTATGTTTCCTTAGGATGTTAAGTTGAGTACTAAGAGGTGTTTCTTTTGGTTATGAGTTCCCACCTTCAAACCTCTTCTCCTACAAGTTCTTGAATGTTCACTTGAGGACAAGTAAAAAATAAGTTTGGGGGAGTTGATGTCTTGCATATTTCATAGTTTTAATCATCTTTTTTTGTGTTCATTTAAATTACTGTAGCTGCATTTAGAGTCCATTTAGGTGCATAGCATTTGCATGTGTGGTATTTCAGGTATGGAGAAGTTTAGGTTGGAGATTAGAGGGTTTAATCATGAAAATGAACCCACCAAGAAGTTCGAGATGCATTTCACACGGCCATGCAACGCGGGGTGGGAGCAGGCCGTGTTTTTCGTCCAGTGCTCCTCGACCACATCACGCGGGCACGTCACGCGGGGTTGGAGCAGTCCGCGTCTCGTCCACGCCACTTCACGCGGTCATGTACCGCGGCCAGCACCAGGCCGCGTATTACGGCCCGAGAACCCCATCTCTTCGACCATCAACCGCGTCCTCCACACGCGGGTACGAGCAGCCCGCGTCTTCTCCTAGCCCGATCACGCGGGCCACCTACGCGGCTAAAGCCAGTCCGCGCCTCACCACGAGCCAGATCAAGCGGCCTGCACACACGGCCAGGGCCAGTCCGCGGGATCATCATAAGATCAACTTTCCATTAGTTGTTTGGGTCAAACCCGGGTTTGTCGGGTTGACCCGGTTTAAGTTTTAAGTTACTATAAATACAATTTAGACCTAATCCTTAGGATTATCTTATTTTTCTCTCCTAAACACTTGACAATTTGGTGAAAGTTTATTCCTTTAATCTAAGTTTCATCTTTTATCTTGTGTTCTTGAGATTTCTTAAGTGTATCATTGCTTTATAATCATGATTAACCTTAAATCCTTCATAGGGTTAAGTGTAATCATGGTGATTAGTGAGTAGTCATCTTAGGATTCATGGGTTATGGAGATCAAATGGTGATTAAGTTAGATCTAAGGTGTTTGAGAATAGATCCATCTTGTTCCTTGCTTGTAGAGTGAATTTAATGATATTTTAGAGTTGGCCTCTCTAGAATTGAGCTTTAGGTATTTCAAGCCCACAAGGTGTATGATGAAATTCCTGAACCAACTCTCCAATGCTTTTAACATTTTTTACCAAAGAGATTTGTTGTTAAAGGTGTTAGGATGGCTAGTAGACTTGATTTTAATGATTTTTTAGATAACATTCAACCTAAGAGATTAGATGCTTGAGTTATCTTTGCAAATGAACATTCATCTATGGATAGAGTTTGTTTAGGATTGTGTCTAGGCCTAAGGTTGATAGATAGATTGAAAAGCTTACACCTTTAGATAGAACCTTGATCACCCAAGATCAATTCCCTTATCCCATGAGTTCTCTCTTCTCATTTTGAAAGAAAGCTTTGATCTCTATTGCTTATTTAGTTGTTTCTTACTTTAAAAACCATCTCAATATTGATAGCACTTAGATTAAGCATGCTCTTGCAATTCCTTTGATTTATGATCACTTAGAACTGGTTTGACATCTTTTATATTACAACATTTGATTAGGAACCTTAAAAATCCTATCATCATGTACTCAGTTAAAACCTGTTATGATCTACTCCAATCGACCAAGAGGAGCCTCACACAGGAAGAGGTTCTAGAACCAAGTATCACGAGCCTTCAAAGCCACGTGTGGAAGATAAAGGCTCCAAGTAAGATGAAGCATTTCTTGTGGCAGGCTATCTCGGGTTGTGTGGCGACGACTAGGGGTGGGCACAAGCTGAGTACTCGGTATTTTTGGTATAGTTAATACTCGGCTTAGCTTGTACGAGTAGTAAATATTTTGACTTGTACTTGGTTTGCAAAAAACAACTACTTGCAATTTAAAGTACTTGCAAAAAACTATTGGACTTGTAAGTTACTTGATTTATTTTATTACTTGTTACTTGTAAATTATTTATAAATTCATTCATAATTACTGGTAAATTATTTGATAATTCATTAGAATTTAAATTTAAATGAATTTATTATATAAATAATATGTCATTTTTTCTTGTATTTAAGTCATTCCTAAAATGGACTGTATAAGAAAGAGAAAACTTCAAGATGCTTATATAAATATAACACTTATGTTTGATGTATTTATGAAAATGGAAATAGAAATGAGTTATTTTACTATGATTTAGAAAATATATCTTTGTTTATTAACAAACACAAGTAACAAACAAAACAACGTCAAGTAATTAGTTCATTTAATATTTACTTTATACTTATAAGTAATTTAAATAGATTACTTGATACTTAACTTGTTCATAATAAATACTAATTTTAAAGATCTTATATCCATTAAATATCGAATAAGAGGCAAACAACGAGTAATTATGGCCACCAATAAAATATAATACATAAATTTTAATTAACTAATATAAATAGATATTAAATATTTAATAAACCAAGTAATATATAACAAATAATGGAATAAGTAAATGATAACAAGTAACAAACCAAGTAGTTAAAAATAAAAATGAATTTGATACCTGACTTGTACTTGCGAGTAATAAAATTTGATTATTTCCTACTCAACTTGATTGTAACAAGTACTTGTTTTTTCAAACCGAACCAAGTCAAATAGCGAGTACAAGCTGAGTATCAAATATTTGTGCCCAGCCCTAGCGACGACAGAGAGGCTCACTTATAGATACATGGGCACCTATAGGAGTTGTCCTAGATGTGCTGGCACAGTGGAGTCGATTAATCAATATTTTTTTTGAATGCCCCCAGCCTTGCAGGTTTGGGCTTTGTCGGACTATCCGTCCCTCCTGGGTGACTTCCCGAGTACTTCTCTTCAGTGGCTTAAGATGGAGTCTTAAGGATCAAATAGGTTCTGAAGTCTTCGGATTACGGGTGTGCAGGAGGACCTTTTTAGTTCTGCATGCAGAGATGGAAGGTTTACTTTGGGAAGTTCCAGGTATGCGAGACATGAGGATAACTTCGATACGGTTTGAGACTGGCTGCTCAGAACTAGTGGACATGATTACAAACCTGAAAGATTGACCGACTTTCAAGACAGAGATCGAAGTGTTTCAGAAATTACAAGAGGATTTTGTGGATGTGAACCTGTCTCATATTCCCGGAGTAGGAATGGTCGGGCGGATACGTTAGCAAAATAAGTAAGGATCAAAAGCTATACATTTTCTTATATATAGCAGATCCGGTCCGACGAAAAAACTTTTCAGAAAATTGACTCGTCTGACCCTACTTAATCTAATTTAGATGGACAGTTGACCAAAAAAAAAAAAAATTGACTATGAAGATTTTGTTGTGTCCACCTGTTATTTAAGTTTTTGTTATAGATAAAAAGTCCTACAACTATATCAATATCCTTTTTCTTGTAGCTACCGTAAAAAATGGAAGCAAAACTATCACCATAATGAAAAAAGAATTGTATTTCTCGCCATGCCCAAAACGTTCATATATATGATAATATGACATTAAAGAGAGTACACATGAAAATTCAAACCCCTACAAAAAACAAACAAAAGATGCCAACAAATCAAAACATCCAATTTAATACAACAGAGTTTTGCATCTAATAATTTGCTTATTGCAATTTTGCTTATAGGTTTCACCCCAAGCTTAAAAGCTTAAACCGTACTCGGTTTCAATAAAGAGAGCAAACAAATACTCAGTACCTTTATTTTTTGCAAGAAAAAAAAAGTGAAACAGAGCAAGTGAAAAGCTCTCACTTCTTCAGGAGCACCGCACTGCATTGTGCCATGATCTTTGATGCTCTCGTGATGGCGTTTGTCATGTAAAAATTCTCGACCACTGGTTTGAACGGCGTTGTGCTCATTGTCTCCTTGCATTCAGGCTTCAATGAAGGCCCAAAAGCAGCTGGCTCTCTTTCATCTGTGTGGACTAGATTTGGTGCGACGTTCTTGATCCTCGACCTAACACCTTCTATTGAGTTGTATGGAAGATTCACACCCGAGACCTCGGACAAAGCTCTCACAATCTTCCAGTCGTCTCTTGCATCACCAACCGTTGGGACAGCAGGAACAGTCTGTTGGGTGAATCCTTCTGTGTTCTCATAGGTTCCTTCTTTCTCGGTGAAGGCCGACGCAGGGAGAATTACGTTTGCACGGTAAACCGCTTTGTCTCCATGGTGACCTTGGTAAACCACAAAGGCGTCTTTAGGGATCTTGCCAACATCTACATCATCTGCTCCCATCAAGTAGACAAATTTCGCAGACTCAAGGGCTTTAGCAGACTGTTGAATGAGACCAAGATCAAGAGCAGCCGCTTGAGCAGCGTACAAGAGGAGATAGTTAAGACCGTTCCAGTCTGGTCTGACGACATTGTTGGCTTGTGCAATGGACTCAACAGCAGACAGGACCGCATCTTTGTCGGTTCTGTTGAAGAGACCAGCGCCAACAATGATTGCAGGGTTTTTGGCGTTCTTGAGAGTAGAGCAGAAAGGGTGACGTCCCTCAGCGATTTCCTTGAGTGTATCAGGCCCAGTCCCGAGGTGCTTGCAGTCGTAGTTGAAATCTGCAGGTGGACCAATGTATGCAACCTTGGCATTCGATGCACGGACTGTCTTGCAGATCCTAGCGTTCACCATTGCAGCTTCAACTCTAGGCTGGGTACCAACGAGTAGGAAAACGTCTGCGTTCTCAAGTCCACTGATGCTAGTGTTCATTAGATAGCTGGACCTAAGATCAGCATCAACACCAACAGCTGTTCCTTCACACCAGACATTGTCTGAACCCATTCTGTTAACGAAGTCTTTCAATACCATCATGGATTCAGCATCAGATAGCTGACCTGCTATTCCAACAATCTCATCTGACTTCACCTGATGGATGATATCACCCACAACGGCCAAGGCATCACGCCAGCTCACGGCCTTGAATCGTCCATCTGAATCTCGAATCATAGGATCGCTCAGCCTTTGTCTTTTCAGACCGTCATAGCTGAATCGGGTTTTGTCAGATATCCACTCTTCGTTTATATCCTAAACAAAAACAACAACAGGTTCAACACCCAGACAAAAGAAAAATACTTCCATAACAATGTTTTTGAATACAAGTACCTCATTAAGACGTGGAATGATACGCATCACCTCAGGTCCTCTACTATCAACACGGATGTTGGAACCAACGGCGTCACTAACATCAATGGTCTCTGTTCCTTTCAACTCCCAGTTCCTGGCTTTAAAGGCAAAAGGCTTAGAGGTCAAGGCTCCCACAGGACAGATGTCGATAACATTTCCAGAGAGTTCACTAGTCATAAGCTTCTCAACATAAGTTCCAATTTCTTCTCCACTACCACGACCTAGCATTCCAAGATCCTGAACCCCAGCAACTTCTGAAGCAAATCGTACACACCTACAAAGACATAACATAAGCAAAATAAGAATATAGCTTATTCACACACTTGAATCAATGTGTTTTTTTTAGTAACCTGGTACACTGGATACACCGAGTCATAACAGTCTTGACAAGGGGACCAAGGTTCTTATCAACAACAGATCTTTTCATCTCGGTAAAACGGCCTCTGTCAGAACCAAAAGCCATAGACTGGTCCTGAAGATCACACTCTCCTCCTTGGTCACATATAGGGCAATCCAGAGGATGGTTCATCAACAGAAACTCCATCACTCCCTCCCTCGCTTTCTTTGCTATTGGTGTGTCAGTCTTAATCTTCATCCCTGTTAGAAAAATACAACAAACTCTTAGAAAAGATCCCAAAATGACTAGTGAAGAAACCAATCAACAGCTCAGGTCAAAATGTGGATGGAACAAAGATGACTACTTTTCATGGAAACTTAAGGAACAACAGATCATGGTCATCATCAATCAAACATAATAAACGATGAGATCGAATCAAACCGGGAAGTGCAGGCATGGCACAGGACGCCACAGGCTTGGGAGATTTCTCGACCTCAACGAGACACATCCTACAGTTTCCAGCAATGGACAAGCGAGAATGGTAACAAAACCTCGGGATATCAACTCCAGCGACCTCACAGGCCTGTAGAACAGTGAAGCCTTTCGGGACTTTGACCGCGTAACCATCGACGAAAACTTCGATCGCATCCTCGGGGTTCGAGAAATGGACACGCGCTCCGCCCACGGGATTCCTCGGAGGGAGGATCTGATTCTTCGGAGGCTCCGGCTGAGACACAGCTGCGGCTTCGGGTGATTGGAGCTCCGGTTTTGAGACGATGGTGCGGAGGATGAGATTGGAGTGTTGAGATCGAAGAAGACGAGAAGCTGGTCGAATCGCTCGAGAAGCTAAGATGCCTACACCCATTGCGTTCGTGGATCTGTTCTTCTCCTTCCTCTCTGTGACGTGAATATATCTGCGATCTTGTTGTTGTTTTCTATCTGTGCGGCTAGGGAAAGAGACACGATTCTGTCAGTTATTGGGCCTCTACGGGCCTTATGAATTTCTTAAAAGCCCGATATTATGTTTTTATTTTCCCGATATTATGTTTGTACTTTCGAAAAGGGTAGTTTGGTCATTCCATTAAAGCCACACTCTTCTCTTCTATTTCACTTGCAAACAAAGTAGGTTCTTTTTTATGTTTCTTTTCTGAAATAAACTTGTTGAAAACTTGCTAAATCAATGGTTGATTCAAGCGATTCGGACTCGGGTTGCTTCGAAATCAGACAAAACAAAAAACCCATGAAGAGGAAGCATGACGGCGAAGAAGAGATTTCCGGTACGGAGGCAATGCTGAGGAGGAGAAAGCAACCGAAGAAGAACACGACGCCCTTTCTATATTCTTCGTCTCCGACTTCAAAGATGATATGGACCAAGAACCACGAGCTCGTCATTCTCAAGGTTTTGTACATACATTATCTCTCTCTCTCTTTTTTTACAAAAAAAAAAAAAAAAACATTTCTGAAATTGGGGGGTTTGTTTTGTGTGGAGAAAGGGTATTGTGGACTATGAAAAGGAGAAGGGGTTCAGCTACAGACGTGATTGGGATGTCTTCTACGGCTATGTGAAAGGTTTGATAGACGCCGATTTCTCCAAAGCACAGCTTGTGAATAAAGTCAAGAAGCTCAAGAAGAGGTTTAGTGATATCAATGCAAGGTCCAAGGATGGGAAAGGGCTTTCTTTTACGAGTACAGATGACGAACAAGTGTTCATGCTGTTGAAGAACATTTGGGGCAAGAACGAAACGGAATGTGCTTCTAACGAGGATATGCAGGAGGAGGATCAACCAAAGGTGGTGACTTTTTGTTCTTGTTAAGCTCTGTTTCTATCTGAAGTCTCAAGTTTTAACTGATGTGTAATAATTGATCTTAGGAGGTGATTGTTTCGGTTAAGGATGTGCCTTGTGCGGATCATGAACCTACGAGAATGGAGAAAGAGGATAAGTGTGAGGAGGAAGATGGTGTGGTGGATGAGTTCTGTGTTCTGCAAGACGCTCTCGAGGGCATGACGGTGTTTAAGACTTTCGGTAAGAACCAACAGAAGATGCTTTGTCGGAATCTGAAAAACCTTCCGGCTCAAAGGAAGAAAGAGCTAACTGATGAATGGAAGGCTTTGTTTGATGAGGAGATGGAACTGAACATCAAGAAACTGAGTTTCTCTGCAAAGCTAGCAAACGCGAGCGCTTGAGTTTCTGCTTAATTCAAGAAGAAGGGAAATGTTTATGCTTTTTGGGATGATTGAACTGTTTTTAGCTTTTTCCTATGACCACTAATCATCTTTTGTAAGCCATGTTAAAAAGCTGTTGGCTTCTTTTGTTGAAACTCTAATTTAGAAGGCTACTTAACTCTATGATGTGATTAAGTAGGTAACTAGTTTTTTCTCTAGTTCGCTTCACTTGCAACCTCCAAGAAAGGAATGAAAAACGGGATTAGGGGAATAGTTTGTCAAATGTGCTGTAAGCATTTAAAAAACACATTATCTCCTAACTGATTCCGTTACCACACATAAAAGATGGAGATTCTAATATCTTTAAATGTAATTGCATGTTGTTTGATACTCAAACTTGATTCTCTGTCCTATGTTTGCATTTTCCCCCTCTGATTCTTTCTCTGTTCTCGGTTAGAGCTTCCTGAGACATTGGTTTTCAGTAATCCATATCATGTATATATATATATATATATATATATATGCAAACTCATCATGCTGATCTAATATCATGTATTGGTTTATATTGAGCTAGAAACAACTCTTATGTTTTATGACTTTTTTAATTTCCCTATTAGTTAATTATCATTTTAGGAAGCCATGCCGATGATGTGGTTACTGGTTAACCATAAATCAAGCCTGACATATTTGCCAAGCTACGAGCGAACAAAGTGTGAGATTAATTTTTTTATAACCTCAACATTTATTTATTAATGATGTCTACTGTAAAAAATAAGATAAAAAATCTATTCTCTTTGTCCTTTTTGATTGTTGCTAGAAGAATCAAAAAACAAGAACTTGCAATTGCAATGATGTTATCTCGATTTGCTACTTTTTTTTTATTGTACTTCTTTTCTTATTTACCACCCAAAAATACCAACCAAACCCAACAAGATATTACTCCCTCAATTTCATACAAAATTTTGTAGCTAACAAAGCTAACAATGTTGAAACCATTTTCTTGATGATGTTATTCGAAAATAAATTCCATTTACTATTTAAAAACCAACCATTATAAATGGTGCTGATGCCATTCATCCGAATAAGGACCCGAACTTTCTATTGTTATTGTATGAATACTTAGTGGAGATTTTTTGGATTGAATTTTTGATAAATTTATTTATTGATTATAAAAGCAATCAGTTAGGTTTTACAATTAGTGATATAGATATCTAAATAAAAATCAATGGATTATTATAGATTAATCAAATGGATTTGCAATAAGTTCATCTTTGTAATAATAAAATACAAAAGAAACTACGTGTATTTTCTCATTACATATACCATATGTTATTTTGATAACATAAAATGCCTTCACATATTTGTTGCTCTTGTCGCTCTTACGGGATTGACATGTGCAAGCCTAGTTCAAGTTTAGTGCAAGCTACTTGTTCATCGACATTCTAAATGAATGAATCATCAAATTTGTGAACAAAATTATTCTTATTATTATTATTTTAAGAGAAATTTTCTTATAAAAATAAACAAGCACTAGCACAGACATATTACAATCACAATAATGGTCATATCAAATATCTTCACTTTTGTTTTGTTTTGTTTCTTTTTGATATCTAGAATCACAAAAGAACAATATTTCTAACCGAAAGAAACATCGCTTAACATTCTATCAAAAGACATACCTGAAACCAAAAAGAGCATCTTCTTCTAGTACATCATTTTGCTACATTTTGCTTGAATTCAACAATTTTTTTTTTGCTAACTGTAATTCTCCATGGAGTGATGGATTATGTAAATGAAGTTTAATTGGATGTTGCTTTGTGAGCTGACTGCTATACGCCGAGCTTATGTCTATCAAAAATGATTATCGACCAAGTCTCATGTTTGTGGTTGTATGGAAACGACACCATTCTTGTTTCTTTACTGTTTAACAAGATATGCTTGATAAGAGTGGTAATATTCTTCCAAGTTTCCCAAAGTCTGCTTTTTATCCACCTACAAATTATTTTGATGATCTCAGCTTAAAACATTGCATTTCCTTCTTATTTATATTAGGTACCGTCAATGACACTAATATTTTTCACCCATATGAAGTTGATTTCTGTTTTAATAGCCACACTGGGTTGAGGGGAAACATCAACATGTCCCCACCAATTATAAAGTTTTAGTTGCCTCATCAATATTATAAGATTCGTTGGGTGTCTAAATGTTTTTAGGGTACACACATACCTGATCATTACCATATTTTTTAGATGAGAACTATTTTTCTGTTGATGATTTTACAAAAGCTCACTAATAGTTTGTGCTACACGTAATGAATCATAACATCTCACTGTGGTCTTGCTATTACAAACTAAATACATCAAAAAAAAACTTGCAGATTTGTCATGGTTACAAGAACTATGTCACTCTTGTTACACCGATTTACTATGCACACTTGGCTGCTTTTAGATCTGGTTACGACATGGAAGGTGAGATGCCTGATGACAGTCATGTTGTTCTGCAGCTTCCAGCAATCAAAGATAATGTCAAAGATAAAATGTTCTTTGGCTGATGTTCATAAAGAAAAAAAGAAAACCATTCTGGATCGGTTTTTGTAACCTCTATTTTGGGTCTTGCCTTTTTGATGGAGCATGGGTTTGTCCACTAAAATTATAAGTATGAGTTTTGTTGAGATCATGTATAATTTTGCAGAGGCAACTACAATATGAGTATTTGCTACACTTGAGAGATTCCGCCTCATTAGTGATGTAGATTCTTGCATGATATTCCAATATATATAAAGAGAACAAGCCACTTTCAGGAACCTACCTTTTCATAAATATCGTAATGAATGTCTTGCTTAAATGAAAGCTGCACAGAAATTGTACAAGAGAGACATGACATGCTCAAGTAATAATGATTTCGTGGGAAATCGTAATAGTTTATATGTCTAGAGAGAGAGATCTTGCGACATGACATGCTCAAGTTATTTTATGAAAGCTATGCTTGTTTTCACTAGATGTAGGTGAAGTCTTCGTTTGCGACCAGCCTGGAGGTGAAGCCATTTTTGGTTAATGAAATGATGTTTGATCGGAGTAAACTTGATGGCTACGGATAGAGGACAATTACGAATACATTCTGACTGGAGGGATCACACTACAAGAAAATGTTGGTATAGCGACTACATATTACGACTACATATATGTAGTCGTAATTTACCATCGCCTTTTACGACTAATTTACGTCTACAAAAGAATTAGTCTTAAAAAAGAGGTTAACTTGCTACCAATACCACTAGTCGTAACATAACGACCAATGTACGACCACATGTTCGTGTAGACGTACTATAGTCGTTCAATTACAACTAGTGTACGACCATTGGTGTTTGGGATTTCGGTTAAGGGTTTAATGGTACGTCGATGCTAATTGGTCGTAATCTACGACTAGATTACGACTAAATGATGGACGAAGATGCTAATTAGTCGTAAACCATTTGAAGCTAGGTAGTCGTAAAGTCTCCTATAAAAGAGCCATCGTTTTCTCCAAAAGCCAAACAAATATTTTAAAATATTTGAGAAAAAGAGTTGATAATTGAGTTGAAAGATTTGAAAAAGAGAGAAGAAAGGTACTCGGATCACAACACCGAAGAGATTAATGCGAGACGAACGTTGAAAGGTTGGTTTCGCATAGAATCTACAGACTTGTGATTCGAGTATCTTTCTTCTCTTCTTTTTCATTTATTTCAAAAGTAGCCATTGTTATCTCCAAAATCTAAAAAAATATTTTTTAAATATATTAAAAAGAGAGTTGATAATTGAGTAGAAAGATTTAAGAATTCTAAGAAAAAGAGAGAAAAAAGATACTCGGATCACAAGTCCGAAAAGATTAATGCAGGACTAACATTGGAACGTTGGTTTCGCTTAGAATCTATGGACTTGTGATTCCAGTATCTTTCTTCTCTTTTTTAAAATATTACAAAAGTAGTCCCTAATTGGTCGTAAATGCCATTTGTCACTCATTGGTTGTAATTTTACGACTAATATACATCTAATTTCTTTTACCACCAAGTAACGACTCATTGGTTGTAAATTGGTCGTAAAAGTGCGACCAGATTACAACTAACTGTTTTGCATCTATTTAACTACTAAGTTAACTACCTATCAAAATCAAAATTTCTCTATAAATGTGATCTTCTTCCTCATTTTAAAACGGAAAGAAAAAAAAACAGAAAACTTTAAAAAAAAATGTCTAAAAATATTTATGAGATCCAGAGTTGGATTTATGCACATAAAGATTCAAGGGGAATAATAACTGACGAATTTCTCAAGGGAGCAGAGATGTTCATGAACCAGGCTGGACAAACGTCTCTCACACAGGAAACATGTAAAATGTTCTGTCCTTGTCGTAAATGCAACAATACAAAGTTTGCTGCTAGTGAAACGGTTTGGAAATATATAGTAAATAGAGGATTTACTCCACATTACTATATCTTGTTTAACCACGAAGAAGGTGATAATAAGAATGAAGCTACTTGTAGTAATCAGGTTGAAATTGTTCATAACAGAGAGAAACCACATTTGCTTTATGAAAGTTACCTTCAAGAGGATCATCATATGGTAGATCATGATAGGATGCATGATATAGTCATAGATGCATTTCGTGAAACAACATCTTTTATAGAGGAGGTAGAAAATGTAGAGGGGCCTAACTTGGATGCAAAAATATTTTACGAAATGCTAGCAGCGGCTAATGAGCCAATCTATGAAGGCTGTATAGATGGTCTTTCTAAATTATCATTGACTGCTAGGATGATGTATATCAAAACTGATCATAACTTACCTGAAGTTTGTATGGATGCATGGGCTGAGTTGTTTAAAGAGTATTTGCTTGAAGATAATTTGTGTGCTGAATCTTATTACGAGATTCAGAAACTTGTTCATAGTCTTGGCTTTCCTTCAGAGATGATAGATGTATGTATAGACAACTATATGATTTTCTGGGGAGACGATGTCGAATTGTTAGAGTGTAAATTTTGCAAGAAGCCGCGGTATAAATCCCAAGGACGTGGACGGAATAGGGTGCCATACCAGCGGATGTGGTACTTATCCATTAAGGATAGACTGAAGAGATTATATCAATCTGAGAAGACGGTATCATCAATGAGATGGCATGCGGAACATACCTAGAAGGAAGGTGAGATCAATCATCCCTCTGATGCAAA